ATCTAAGTACACCAGCTGCTGAGACGACACGTTAACGAGTGGATGCCCTTAATTCTCATAAGGTGATAAGATTAGTGAGCAACGCGAATAACACATCGATGATAGGAATCCGAAAGGAGAAGAAAAAAACACACGAAAAGGGGAAGTAAAAATAAACGCAAGTAAAGTGGCGACTATGTTTAATTGAAATGCCAGGAGGAAAAGAGTTGAACCCGGTAGGAAAGAACTTAACTAGATAGGAAAGAACTAAGAGAAACTGACCTCGAATGTCGCCTTCTCACCACTCGTGATGGTTGAATCCTAGCAGGAAGCGCCGGTGACGTCAAACGTGTCCTCCTCTTCCTATGTCATACTTCCTTGATCGAATCTTGGGCTGTCGGCGCTCGGTGTTCCATCAGAATAGGCTGGTTGATGGGGCGATCCGCCAAGGGACTCTAACCTGTTTTAACCTAAACAGGCCTAAGTGCTCCATCTTCCGAGGTGTTAAGCTTCGTAATGACGACTAGTGGCCAGAGTGTTCTTGGCACACCGTTCTGTGCATTAGGCACTACTTCTTCAAGAGTAGGCCATAAACGTGATCCTCGCGAGCTTTGCTAGCTTTGGGTGTGTCTGCCGACGCTCGAAGGTAATCCTTCTACCTCAGAGACCGGAAATAGTCCAACGTGTTGAGAAGGCACTCATGTTGAGCTTGAAGGACTATTTGGTTTTCCACTCGCTCGGAACGTAATATTGAAGGTCTGAAAAGAACGACTCAATGGTGGTAGGAAATGCCCTAGATTGCTCTGTAGTAGGGATTCCTAAGGTCTATGGGCTGTGTGAAATTTTGCCAATCACCAGTATGGTGACTGTCGTTAGGGGCCTAGTATTTAACGCGGCTTCGTTCTCCATGAGAAGAGTTTCGAGGCTGTGAACGTTCAACCTCGTTCCAGTATACTGAAGAGCCGTTCATAAAGTCCCTAATACGGAGAGAGAGGTTCATGAGCCTTCATCGGAGCACATTTTGTGGTGAATTCCTGAACTGCAGAATCGTGGTCGAAGTTCAGTAGGTTGTCTAGTATGTCTTCGCCTAACTTGAACACAGGAGGAGCATTGTCACTGATAACATGATCAGGGACGCCCCTTCAGCCATAATCCTACAAAAAGCGAGGTGGAACTCCGTAGACGTTGTCATGAAACGAATCCAAATGCGAAACTCTAGCGGCCATGCATGTAAACAGACGCATCCAAACTTTACGAGCCACCATCGACGAAGTAAGAGCTTGTAACGGTCTAAATAGTCCAACCGGATCCGTTGGAAGGGTCGACCACGCGTCTTTTTTTCGAACGGTAGTTCTGGTGAATTAGGGACCTATATGGACAAGATTGCTGTCTCTGGCAGTGTATGCATTGCACAATTATGGACCGAATAATACCCTGAATTCGCGGTCGTAATATACTAACGAGATGCTCAACTCCCGCATGAGAAGGAACATGATGACATCAAGTGATGACAATCTTTGTCAGAGGATGATCCGACACAATGAGAAGTCGGTTTTCGACTTTCCGTACTACGATATGATATGATTCATTCGATTGGCCACTTGAGTTACGCCGTTAGGTTCTTCCTCGTTCCTTTTGGTCCTACATAGACATAGACGCAGTTGAGTAGCACTCTCTCGTTTCGGCTTCCTTATCTCCGATCCTACATTTAGCTGTGATTCCTACGAGGGGAAGAGCTAGATCTAAATGAGCTTGACTTTGCGGCGAAATTCTTTCATAAATGCGCTTCTAAAGAGCTCAAGAAGGAAAAGAGTAGAACTAATAGCATATTGTAGTCTGCCAGAATGGTAACATTAAGCAAAGATGGTCCAGTCCAACAGAGTGGTCAGAGATCTCTCGTGAAGAGAGTCTTCCGATTCCGCAGTTTGCTGGACTGGATTCTGATGAAACGTAATAGAATCAATCTTCCATGGAGTGAAATTATTGATCGTCAATCTTCCACGTCGATCTTACGTCGATCTTCCATGAAGTGAAATTATTAGTCGCACTGCAAATCCGCCTGACTAAATTGACGACAAACGCTTTCGCAACATGATCCGTGTGGATCCAATAAAGCACAAGGAATTCAAAAAGAATCGAACATTTTTGATATTAATCGTCAACTCCTTTAGTCGGAATTGGTAGTGATATGGCAATATCACATGCCATCAATTCTAGGCGGGGGATGGTGCTCGTCTTCGCCACAAGGAGGTTGTATTGAGAGGATAAGCATGGTGTCCTATTTAGTAGATGGGCGCCGCCAAATACATAAATACATTTTTTTTACAAGCATGCGCAAACAATAAAAGTTCATGTACAGCCTCTTTCTTGAAACAAACATGTACCTTTGATCGGGAGCAGAAACAACTTTCTATCCTGTCCACGATCTCCTGGCATTTGACCCCGAATGCCTCTCTGTAAGATGTGTACCCCACGAAAAGTCGTCCTTCCAAAAGCATTGAATGAAGGACCTAGCCTAAACAAACAATGGAGAAAATTAACCGAGTGGATCGGAAATGGACGCTATCGCTCTAACAAGGAAGTTCTTTCAGGGCGTGTGACCTTTTTTGAAAATGGTTTTTTGCATGGTATAGTGGCATGAGCACTGAGTGCAGAACTATGGTCCATTTCCACTAAATAGCCTTCTGAATGCCGGAGAAGGGTGAAAATAATTTTGTCTGAAATTGCCGTCTTAACCCACTGAGCGTTTGTTTCATTCATGGCGTCGACTGTCCGCACATTAGAAGGGGCCAGTGGACTGCGCATTGAAATTATTGTGAACAGTAGCCCAAAAAGGGAGCCACATGTTGAAACATGTTGAAAAGTGCGGGAAAGTTTCATATATGCTCTCCACGATTCAGGTGCTGGCAGCGAAAGATGGCGTGGTGGGCAGCGATGTAGACTTCGAATTGGAACTACTAAGCTGGGTTGATGGTTCGGATCCCCGAGGCTTTGCTGCTTTTGCATTTTACGCTGCCACCTCCGAAGCAAGTGCCTGACCGGTCATGGTCGTGACTAGGACCAGCGATAACCTCTACAAATCGTCAGAATTCGATTTGTGGAGCACTATCAGTGGAGGAGCTTCCAGGCTTCACACTCCCAGAAGTATAAAGGGGTCTCTTCATTTCACACTATACAAAGTGTTGTAATGGGGGTAAAACCCGAATATGGTTCCTGTTCGATGGGAGCTGTCATCGACCTTGTTCTTCAATGCAAAGACAACAGGATTCCCATACTCATTGTAGCTCCCGACTCCGACCTTTCTCTGGGCGTCAACCGCAGACTTCTGTGGGAGAACGGATCGGATTCCTTTTCGACTTGTCTTTTTGCTGAAGCATCCATGAGCATTAGGCTTGATGTAAAAAGCTGTCACCCCTGAAGGAAATCATTCAAGCGCAAGATTACTGGATTAATGACTAGATGAAGGGTTTGGGCAATAGCCGTTTACAACTTACGATCCTCTAACTCGGCGTTCTGCTATAAAGGGGCGTCCTGCTATGAAGGGCTGGCAGGACGCGATCAAGATGGGCATTGCTGAAGTCGAGGTGACTGCAGAAGATATTGATCGTGAGGAGAGAAGGAAATGGAGATGACCAACCAGGACAGTGGACAAAAACCCTCCAACGGCGCGAGGTCAGGGTAAAAACGGCGAAATTCTCAAATTTAGATGCGCCTTTCACCAGTTTTTGAAGAATTTGGTCGAAATAAAACAACAATCAAACGATCACTGTCCGGATCATTCAAAGAATTGTATGAACTGCGCATTGTCCATACAATGTCCGAAGAACAGAAGATATGATATCGAGTTTTTTGACTACCGAAATGATATCATACCAACATTTTACCAACTTAATGAACTCTGGATGTGAGGGATGCAAAAACAGCCGAAGTGATGAAAAAAACTGCGTTCGGAAGTTGAGGGGGGAGGGGGAGGGAGTAGGGGGAAAGGGTGGACTCCTGGGAGTGTGAAGCCTGGAAGCTCCTTCACTGATAGCTCCACTCATAAAATTCTAACGACTTGTAGAGGTTATCGCTGGTCCTGCTCACGACCATGACCGGTCAGGCACTTGCTTTGACCCTGATGCAATGGAGGTGGCAGCTTAAAATGCAAAAACGGCAGCGCCTCGAAAACCCAAACCATCAACGCAGCCCAGCCGTCTCAGTACGCAGTCCACATCGCTCTCCACCACACCATCCGTCCCTGCCAGAAACTCAACCGTGGAGAGCACATATGAAACTTCAACGCACTTTTCAACATGTTTCAACATGTGGCTCCCTTTTTGGGCTACTGTTCACGTTACTTTCAATGCGCAGCCCACTAGCGCCTTCTACTGTGCGGACAGTCGACGCCATGAATGAAACAAGCGACGCTTAGTGGATTAGAACGGCAATTTCTGACAAAATAATTTCCACCCTTTTTTGGCATTCAAAAGGCCATTTAGCGGAAATGGAAATAGTATTCCAACGGTCCGACGAAGGTGAACTCTTCCTCTTCTTCAATGATACCTGACCGATCCTGCCTCTGAAACGTGTCAGAGTTCCTACTTCACACGTTTTCTTGAAGGACGTCGGAAACGATAAACAAAGTTTACCATGCATTTGACTTCGCAAGACTACAAGTGCAAAGGATGAGACTCCAGTCGTCGTGGAACCTCTAGCTTCGCGTGGTGAGGAATTGCGGCTCGATGAATTGAAGTTCCAGCTTTTGCGCAGTGGCTTCTTCGATGAAGCTATGCTGTGCTTCGCTATCTGGCAGCGATGCAATTAGATCATCTACCAGCGTGTTGTTGTTACGCGCCCAAACTGTGACTACCATGAGGTATAAATTTTCCGATGACTGCTTGCGATTGAGCTCATTGGACATTTGAGTCAGATGCAGAGCTTTCATTCTTGTCGAGAAAGGGTCCCCTACACACTGGGGATTCCGTATCCACGCGGCTCTGATAAGAAGCTCTGAAGCAGCCTGGACGACGAGTGCGGCTATGACTTACACGATAAAAGGTAAACATCCCCAAAAAGAGGATCTATCTCCGTCTCGAGACCTTCACGGACCATATGTAAAAGAAGCAATGCAAAATCCTGTGACAAAGAAGATTCCTCAAGAGCTTCTTTGTCAAAAGATCTCGCAGGAGTCTTCGACAACACACTGGGGATTCCGTATCCACGCGGCTCTGATAAGAAGCTCTGAAGCAGCCTGGACGACGAGTGCGGCTATGACTTACACGATAAAAGGTAAACATCCCCAAAAAGAGGATCTATCTCCGTCTCGAGACCTTCACGGACCATATGTAAAAGAAGCAATGCAAAATCCTGTGACAAAGAAGATTCCTCAAGAGCTTCTTTGTCAAAAGATCTCGCAGGAGTCTTCGACAACCTCGAAGGTTCGGTTCACTTGATCCAGAGCCTCGAGAAGGCGATGCACTCTCTGAGAGGAAGAAATCTTTGCATGGGTATCCCAGGGGCGCTCTAGGTATTAAGCAGAAAATTTCTTGCATATCATACGCACCGCGCAGATGTTGTCGTCACATGTTGTCGGTCTCCAAGTCTCTCGAGTTGGAGCCATAGCGACCTGACTTGCGCTAGCATAATACGCTGGTTGAGCGCAGAACTGGAGAATGAGAACAATCGTAAAGACGAGAACACTAGCAGTAGGTGAAGGGTCGAATAACGCCAAATGGGGGTAAAGCTTGCGCAAAAGTTGCTCCTCAGAGATAGAACATTGAGTTCTCAAGAAATACAGCCTGCAGGAGGGATACACTATTAGTAGAAGACAGGACTGAACACCGCCCAACGGGGTTGTAGCTTGCGCAAAACTTGCTTCGTTAAAGCGAGAATGTTCGAACTCGAATGGAAACAATCGGCAAGATGAGAACACTAGCAGTAAGTGAAAGGACCGAATAACGCCCAATGGGGTTGTAGCTTGCGCAAAAGTTGCTCCTCAGAGATTCAAATTCGACTGAACGCAATCTGCAAAATGAGAACACTAGCAGTAGGAGACAGGACCGA